GAAGGGTGGAGGAAAAGGGAGGAGGAGGAGGAGGAAGGTGGGGGGGGAGGAGGGAGAAGGAAGAGGGAAGAGGAGGAAGGCGGGGGGGAGGAGGGAGGAAGAGGGAGAAAGGAGGAGGAAGAGGGAAGAGGAAGGGGGGGAGGAGGAGGAAGGCGGGGAGGAGGAGGAAGGCGGGGGGGGGGGGGACGGGGGGAGGGGGGGGAAGGGGGGGGGAAGGGGGAAGAGGAAGGGAGGAGGGGGGGGGGGGAGAAGAGGCTGTGCCGGGAGGCCGGGGGCGAGGCCCTGGCTTCGGAGCTGGGGGGACGCGGATCCGAATCCGGCCCCCGCGGGCTTCCCAGACACTCACCGGGCGACCCCGGGCCCGACACTTGACCTCTCTGGGCCTCGGCTGCCTCCTCCGTACAACGAGGCCGCCAGGGCTGCCGGCGTCCCGCCACGCCACGCACCCGCTCCTCCCCGCTGCCCCCGCCGCGGGCCCTCCGCCGAGCCGTCCCGGCTGCGCCCCCGTCCCCCGCGGCCCGCCCCGGGAGCCCGGCCTCTGATCACAGCCACGTCTCGAGCCGGCTTTCTTAGATCCGCACGGCCGCACTTCCGGCTGCCCCGCCCACTTCCGGCGCGGCCACTTAGCTTCCGGCGCGCCCCGCGCGGTTCCGGTGACGTCATGCGGCCGAGCGAGCGGCCGAGCGGCGCCGCGGAGTCCCGCCCACCTCGCTTCCGGCGCGGGCCCAGGACCGGGCTGACCGCGGCGGCGGAGGTGGCGGGAGGCTGCCGGCCCCTCGCGGGGGCTCCTCGGGGACAGGATGGGGCGGGCCGGCTCCCCTTCCCTCTGCGGACGTGGCGCCCTGCGGGGCGGGGCGGGGCGGGGCGGGGCGCGCCCTCGACTTCCGGCCTGGGGTGACGTCTTTTCCGGGGCGGGGCGGGGCGGGCCTAGAGCTGGGGCCGAGGCCAAGGCCGAGGCCCGGGGCTGCCTGGCGCCCGTGGCCGGTCGTCCGCGCCCGCCGCGCTCCGAGCCCGCGTCCCCCCCCCCCGCGCCGCCTGCGGCCTGCGGGTGGCGGCGGCCGCTCCCCGCTGGGGCTGCGCCCGGTAAGAGCCGCGCTGATGCCGGGGCCGGTTGCTAGGGGCCGTTGCCAGGGGCGACGGGAGGGAGGTGGTCGCGGGCGGGGGGGCCCCGGGCTGCTCTCGCGAGACTCGGCCAAAGCCTCGCCTCCAAGGCCCGGCGCGAGTGGTGCGCGTGGAGCCGGGGCGGCGTCGCCGGGTGGTCAGCCTCCGTGACTTGACAGCTGGGGAAACTGAGGCCCGAGAGCTGGAAAGGGAAGCCAATCAACCCAGCCCCTCCTTTTACAGATGGGGAGACTGAGGCCCAGAGACGGGAATGATTTACCCAGTTACACCCAGGCGATAGTTGTCAGACAGGATTTGAACCCAGAACCTCGTCACTCCTGATTCGACATTCTGCCCCCTTGGCTGAACTAGCAGAGCTCTGGGGTGTGTTGCCACGTGGGAGGGGCCCAGCCGAGTGAGGGGCAGCCTTTCCCAAAGAGGAGGGGCAAGGGGAGCTCCCTGTGCCCGGGGTGCCCCCCGCTCAGTGCTGGAGGGAGCTTGGGCATCGTCTGGGCCAGACCCTTCGCTGGACGAGGCCTCCCTGAGTTTAGGCAATTGCCGGTGCCCCTCAGGAAGGAAGTAGCAGAAGCAGGATTGGAACCCAGGCCCTGTGGCTCCCAGACCAGGGCTCCTTTCCCAGCATCCCTCTGCTTCTTAAGGGAGCGTGCACAGACCGTGGAAAGGGGGGAACCTGAGGGGTCCAGAGTGAGCAGGGCGCCCAGTCTGTCAAATTAGGAGGAGGCTGGCCAGGGGATGCCCCAGGAGCCCTCCCAGCAGGGAGCCCCAGCGTCCCATTTCACCACAGTCCTACTGAAGCCCCTTGTCTGGCTCTCTCCTTTGCTGCCTCCAGGCTCTCAGAGTCTCCATCTGCCCGAGCCACGTCTTGCTCGGCGCCGTCCCCTCCGAGATCCGCTGTGCAGTCCTCTGCTTTGGCTGTTCAAGCCCTGCCCGACCGGCCCCCATCCTTCCCCTTCCAGCTGCCCCCGCCTGGAGCTCCTGCTCAGCACCAGTCTCCCCCTGTGCAGGAGGCCTTTCCCCATCTCCCCTCCCCATCTGCCTCCCCTCTGTGCCCTTTCCTCGGGGGTTACCTTGTGCCCGCAGTGATGGAGGAGGGCCGCAGCCCTTGGCACAGCACCTTCCCCATTAGAGTGTGAGCTCCTCGAGGGCAGAGGCTGGAAGGCCTCCTCCGTGCTCCATCCAGTTCTGCTTCATCTTTATTGATTGGGGTAAGTGTCCTGGCCTTGCTGCTGGATTTGGAGCTCCGTGGGGCCTACCCTCGGCATTCCCTGTGCCTAGCACAGTGCTTCGCACGAGCGTAGGCATTTAATAAATATGTCCTGAGTTGAATTATCCCCTCTTGCAGAAATAAAACCTCCCAGTAAGGTGATTCGATTCTGGGATAAAAGAAATCTCGCCTGGCCCCTCTTGGCTCCATTTCCCTGTGGACCGCTTGGTCTGGCCCCCACCCGCTTTGTGCCAGTGGGCCTGTCATTCACTCCTGCTGGCCTCCAACTTACTCTCCTTCCAGTCAATTAATCGTTAAACATTTATTAAGCTCCTACTATGTGCCAGGCACTGAATTCAGTACCTGCCTCACAGTCTTCACCCCAACCCCTGCCCTCAGTATGCATGCAGATATCTCCTCCAGTGTCCGAGTTCCTGCCAGAACCTCCATTTGAGGCATGCAGGGGATCCAGGTTGACCACATCTCAGTCCCCTCCAGGCTGTACTCCAGACGCCATCCACCAGGGTTTCCATTTTTGCCCCACCTCAGCTACCCATGTACTGAATGAAATTCCCCTCCTTGGTCACGCAGCCCGCCCTTCAGTCTTTCTCTTTGCCTCAGTTCTCTTAAATCCCTCCGGCATCCTCGATGTGGCCTCCAGTTCCTCCGTCCCTCATTCATTCACCTGCTTTTGCTAAATCACGCCCCTTGTTCAGCCCTCATCTCACCTGACTTCTCTGCATCATCTGCATGCCTGGCCACCCACTCTTCGCTTGGCTCTTGGGAGCTCCTGGTTCTCTGCTACCTGTCGGATCATTCCTTTGAAGTTTCCTTTGCCCCATGTGAATCCTGAGAAGCTCTGTCCTGGGCCCTTTGGTCATCTCCTCCTTTCCCATGGGTTCACAGATCATTGGAAAGAACCTTTGGTAGGGAATATGAAGTATGGTCAGAAGCTCTAGGCAGATGATTTTCTCATCCAGCATGAATTTCTTCTCTCAACTCCAGTCCTCTGGCCTGGCTGTCTTCTGGACAGCTCCTCCTGCATGGCCTATCAGCATCTCAAACTCAGCATACCCAACGTGAGTGATAAAAAAGCACAAAGAGCTTCCTGTGTGCCAAGGGCGGTGCTAAATGCCAGGTGTACAGATAGAAAACTGAGAGCCCCTGTTCTTGAGGTGATCGTGTTAGAGTTGGAGACAGGCTTAGCTGCTGGGCAGGCTGGAAGGCCTGGGGCGGGGGGAGCCGTTCTCTTACTAGAAGCACTACGGTTGGAGACCCCGCTCTTTGAAGTGACTCCAGTGGCCATGTTGGTCGGGGGAAGGGGGTGGAGGGGCCCAAGGATCCGAGTGAAGCAGACTTTGTGGGCTCCCAGCAAGGCTGGGGGGGAGGATATGGGTGGGGAAGGGCTCACTGCGACATGCACAGATCTCCTTCCCTTCCCAGGAGTTAATGGAACTCGGTATCCTCTCTCCCACACAACGTGTCCTTCTAAATGTCCCTTTTTTTGCTGGGAGGCACCGCTATCCCAGTCACCTAGGTTGCCCACCTTGGTGCCCTGTCCTCTTCCCTTGCCTCGAACTCGTATCCAGTTGGATGCTAGGTCTTTTCCATTTAGCCTTCACGAAATGGAGTCCATCCCCTTTTCTCCACACATCTGGCCTGATTCAGGCCCCGTCACTTTGCTCCTAGAGTGTTGTAATCTCCTAATTCACCTCGACTTCAGTCTCTCCTCCTACAATCGGTCCTGCAGACACGGCTAAAGGAATCTTCCTAAGGGATGGATGTGGCTGTGTCACCTCCCTACTTGGAATTACTGGTGACTCCCTACTCCTGCTGGGATGAGGGCTTTTTGTTCCCCACTCCATTTGGGGTGAGCAGGATGCCCAGGCCTGGGCCTGCCTGCCTTTTAGCCATTCGGTGAAAACTAGGGACCCCTTCTTAGAATGATGTTTCCAAATGTATAACGGAGGAGACAAAGGATTACAATGAAAACCAATGATGTTGAAATAATATTCAAATTTTACTAACTGAAGTTCTGGGACCCTTGGATAAGAACCCTTGTATAGGATGAAATATGTATAGCCAGTAGAATCTCAGAATTAGAAGAAAATTTGGAAGTCACCTGGTCCAACCCATAGCCACACTACTCAGTCACGTGTTTTTGTTCAGTCACGTCTGACTCTTCGTGACCCCGTAGTCCATAGTCTCAGTGAAGGGTTTTGCCACTTCCTTCTTCAGAGGATTAAGGCAAATGGAGGTCAAGTGACTTGCCCAGGGTCACAGTGTCTGAGGCTGGATTTGAACTCAGATCTTTTTGACTCCAGGCCCAGCACTCTAGCCACTGAGCCACCTAGCTGTCAGTTATCCAGACACAGCAAGCATTTATTACATACCAGGCAGTGGGGTGCCGGGAAAATGGGGCACAGTCCCTGCCCTCAGGGAGCTTACGTTCTGCTGGGAGTGGAGGAGCGGTTGAGGGGAGAAAAGCACCCGACCAGGGGAGTCGGGAAAGGTTTCCTGTAGAAGGGGGCGGCTGAGCCAGGCCTTGAAGGAAGGTGAGGCCTGGGGGACGCTGCCTGTTGCAGTGGCAGGGCTGTGGGTGGTGGGAGGTGGTTTGGGTGCTTTGGTTTTTATACATTTCTTTTTAAATTCTGAATGTAAACACCAAAATAAGGATCATTTCCCTGTACACAGTAGAACACGAGAAATGTCCCATTTCATACTGGTTGCTTTAAAAAAATTTTGTAAGGAATTCCACATCTTACTGTCAAAACTGCTGCTTCTCTGTGCTTTCTGCTGTTCTATTCTGTGCATTAAAGACATTCTTCAGTGCTTGAAAATGGTTGGGCACAGCACTATTGCTGCCTCCCTCGAAATGCCTTCCCCCAGTTAAAAATCTAGAGAAAAGACAAACTCGTTGTCTGAGAGTAATTAAGACAAATGAGCGGATGCCCTCAAGGACCACGATCGGAAAAGTCTGTCTTGGTCGGCTCTGTCCGGAGGTGGAGGCCTTCAGTGAGCATCGGGCCTCTGGGGACGGGGCTGCTTGTGGCATCAGCAGAGTTCTTCCGTCCTTCAGAGCTGTTTTTCTTTACCATCCTGCTGGTCTGTCAGCTGTTCTCTTGTTTCTGCTCACTTGGTCTATTCCCATTTCCCAAGATTCTCTGAAATTGTCTCATCAGTTCTTCATGCATTAAAATTCCATTATATTCACATACACAGTCTGACCTGCTGCTCCCCAGCTGATGGCACCCCCTCAGAGTCTAGCTCTTTTTCCCTTTAAGGTCCTTTTCAGGCTTGTACGGACTGGTGCTGAGTGAAGTGAGCAGAACCAGGAGAACGTTGTACACAGTGACAGCCACAGTGTGCGATGACTGACTTTGATAGACTTAGCCCTTCTCAGCAATGCAAGGATCTAAGACATCCCCAAAGGCCTCATGATGGAAAGTATTATCCACGTCCAGAGAAAGAACTATGGAGTCTGAATGCAGATGGAAGCAGACTGTTTGCTCTTTTTTTTTTCCTTCTGTTTTGTTTCTTTCTTGTGGTTCCTTCTGTTGGTTCTAATTCTTCCTTACAACATGACTAATGTGAAAATATGTTTAATAGGAATGTATATGTAAAGCCTATTTCAGATTACACGCCTTCTAGGGGAGGGAAGGGAGAGAAAATGTAAAACTCAGAAGCTCATGGAATTGAATATTGAAAACTAAACATAAATTAATAAACAAAAATGTCCCTTTCAGAATCAGGAAGTTTGCTGGCCCTTCTGTCATCTTCCCTTTAGGCCTCATCCCCATCCCTTAACCCAAACATTGGGTTTGATGTTTTTGTTCAGTAAACTGTATTCAATCCCCCTCTGCCCATTTCAGATAAGACTGAGGCTCATCTTGTCCTCTCCTCCTACCCCTTCCTCCATGTTTGTATCTTTTTTTCTCACATGCCCCAATTATGAAGAAATAACAGATTCCTCCCCTTCTTCCTCCTTTTACCCTCCCTTTTCTTTCCTCTCATCAAACTCCCAGGACAGAACCTAGCGGCTCTCAGATCCTATTTCTCTTCTTCAGCCCCTTCAGTATCTTTTGAAAACCTTAAGGTTCTGTAGGGACACTTGGTTTTTCTCCCACCCTTAGAATGTTAGCACCACGTCTTCATACAGACTCTTCCGTTGCTCAGATAAATTGACCTTTTTTAGTTACTTTGGATTATTGTGTTTGTATTTCATAATTCCTGTTCAGGTCTAGGGGCAACTGGGTGGTGCAGTGAGTGGATGGAGTGCCAGGAGTCAGGAAGACTCATCTTCCTGAGTTCCAATCTGGCCGCAGACACTTACTAGCTGTGTGACCCTGGGCAAGTCACTTCACCCCCTTTGCCTCAGTTTCCTCATCTATAAAATGAGCTAGAGAAGGAAATGGCAAACCACTCCAGTATCTCTGCCAAAAAAAGCCCAAATAGAATCAAACATGACTGCAAACAAGTGAATAGCAGTTCAGCTCTGGTCTTTCTAGCTAAAATTCTTGAAAGTTCCATGAAGGTCCACTTTTTTTTCTTTTTCTGTAGGATTGTACTCATCTCTGCAGGGTAGGTTTTCCTGGGTTGTAAGCCTCTATCTTTTGCCTTTTGGAATATTGAGGATCTCTCATTTGGAGTAGAAGGTGCCAGGTCTCATGTGCTCTTGACAGATTCCTTCCTGGATGCATGCAGAGTTTTTTTTTCTTTGACTTTTGGGTGAGCCCTAGATTTTGGCTGTGGCATTCTTGGGCCTTTTCCTTTTAGGGTTTCTTTCAGGAAGCGATAGGTGACTTCACTTTGCCCTCCAGTCCTTAAGCAGATCTGAGCAGTTGTCATTAGGATTTCTTCATATATAGTGTCTAGACTTGTTAAAAATCGGTTTATTTTATATTTCCTTCTCTTCCACCCCCCCCCCATTTGGGTTTTGCCCCTGTTACTCAGGTAAGGGTTAGGGCTTTATCTCCCAAACTATATCTATTGCTCTCTTTC